TACAGTTCGGCAAATGATTCCTTCATGCAATTCTTTAGTACCACCGCCTTCTAAAGATTTTTGTTCTGTTTCAACATCAAGAACGTTTTGTATTTATAATGGTTTCTTTCACATTACGTCGTTCTTCATTGCAGAGTTTAGTTTCGTTCCCGCACAGCTAAAACAAATAGCAATTTTCTAAGTTATTTTTGTGGTGCTTATTCCGTGTCATTTATGGGTTTTCTATCATGTTTTCATGTTCATACTTAAAGCTTATAGGTCCGCAAACAAACGAATATGACACGCTAAGCATGGTGCTCATTTAAACCATATTACCATTTTACAGCCATTACATGTAATTGAAGAACAAGCATTACCTGTAATTGACGAAACCCATAAAACAACGTGCTGCACGGAAACAGGCGTATACACTACCAGAAAGAACATGGTAATGTTTAGGCACTGAAAACCAATTTCTAACGGTAGAGAATAATTGGTAGCACCAACTCAAAGATGTACCCGAAATAAAATCAACCTTTACGACAAAATGCGTATCACCAACCGACTAGACAAAAGGCGCATCACCAACCGACTAGACAAAAGGCGCATCACCAACCGACTAGACAAAAGGCGCATTACCAACCGAGTATCGAATGGCAGAAAACGACTCAATGATGATGATATTTTTCAAGAAAGAAGGCTCCTATCTGGTAATTATATGACCAGTCCAGAGTTTTGGTTATTGATTTAATTTGCACCAATTAAGGCTAGTATTCAGTTGAATTGGTTATTATATGACTCTTTGCCATTTCTGTAATGAACGTCTTTATGCAAGAAACGAGTTTTGTAACGAAAGCTCAAGTAAGGGATTTATTTTCAGAACTTATATGCATTAAGCACATGTCGTAGTTCATATTATGAAAGGAAACTGCTGATTTAATTGAAAAGGATGTTTTCACATATTGAATGTACATTTACCCAAGCATTTCCTGAACGATTAACCTAAGACACCTATATATATGGGACTGCACCTTGAACATTTGGTATTAGATACAGCACGCCAAAAATGAATTACACAGCGTTATACAGCTTTGGATATATATACATCTTCCGTACAAAATTCAGCTGCAGAATCATTCTCTAAGTACGAGGTATGAACACATATTTCAAATAGTAAAAAAAATAATCTTGAAAGGGGCAGCGCATCCGTTTATATAGATCAAAACTGTGGTTGAAAATAAATAAATAAATATCTAACAATAGAGGGGTAAAAATGTACATCCGGTGTGTCGCGCTAGGTTTATCACTGACATACAATGAACAAGTAACGAATACGTAGTAGTGGTGTAGGATATGATATTAGCAACAGTTTCTAATACACACATGCACTTGTAGCAGAGGATGCTAACACTATAATATAGGTAGTTCAAGAGCCAATATGCAGGCATGGTTATCGAATATAGTTTGAAGAACGTGTAAAGTTTAGATTAGAAAATACAAATTCATATCAAATATTTGAAATGTCATCTCCCTCATTATTTAATTGATAAAAGTTATGTAATAGCAAATATTTGTTACCTAAAATATTGCAACATTAACTATCACACAGATCAGAGCGCTTTCAAATGCATCCGATATGTTCCTATCGAAAGTTCGGTGCAGTGTATGAAATGTATACATTTTTATTATTCTGACTTGCATGCTGTCGTAATCGACATATATGACATTGCGATTCATGCAGTATGCGAGAAGATGACATACTTTCTGTCAGGTTTCGGAAGGATGTCTGTAATTTATTAGATAAAATACATAACAATCTGCAATGTGAACCATCAATTTCCAGTGTAAAAATAATTGAAGTTCGTTTTATTCATTTTGATCTACTTGTGGTGGTATTGAAATAAAACGCATTTGAGACCTTACTACATGTGCGGTGTCGCATTAGATATTTACAACTTTTCATACGGGTTCTTAGAATTCCCAGGGAACTGATGGAAATTTATCATCATCACAGAATCAGTTCCAAACATTGCAAGCATATCGTTTAATAAAGTATGCTATCTAAAATACATTAATATAGACAAACCCTATATTTTCATTACAAGGAAAAGTATTTTTTCTAATAATCATGGGAAAAAAATAAGAAGGAATGTGAAAAGAAATTTAATGTTAGCATTTAAATTGTTAATTACTTTTGATGTACGTTTCTTAAATGTTAATTTAAATTATTTGCATTCATCGTTTGATAATCGCAGTAAGTTATAAAATAGTGTTACACCACTTAGCAATATTTAAGATATGACGATGATAGTTCACGTAAATATAATTTATCTGTCACACAAATGGATGACCTCCGACATAGCACTTATTTACCAAGCAATTGAATTCTAACCTCCTTGTTTCCCTTGTGAACATATTTTAATAACCTGTCTTGCCATCCTTTGAAGCATATGATGTGGGGAAGTGATATGGGGAAGTCATCAATCTAGTCATAAGTTTTATGTAAGACATTAAATATAGTTCAATGGAGATGAACAAATAATTAACAATGTCCTAGATTGAAAGAAGCTTTTGTTTTTTTGTCCAGAAGTATATATTTTCCATATATCGCCTACAGCGATGAATGTTAAGACACCACCAAATATTAATACAATGTCTATCAAAGCAAATCATCTGTCGACGCGTTATAAATTATTGCATTCTTTAAAGTACAACCAACTTGAAGTATGTCAATACTTATTATTTAAATAACAACATAATTTTTGCAAATACACATCTACGTATGCATTAATTATCTAAGTGAAATACCATTGATCCCATCCTGAAATATTTTATAGCTATAAGATAAACTTGTTATATTTGTCCTAATCACAATAGATATCAACAGTAGCATTGACATGAATGAATCCATGTAAAATGCGTTAATAATACCTAGCAATTGTTTCGAACAGAAGCTGTATTTTACACATAATCAATTGTTATAAAGCGTTTACCTCACTTCACTGTAAAAGCAGGAAGTAAAGACGATAATTTATTTAGAGTTCAGCACTTTCGGAACAAAACTGTACAGTTTGAAGAGAAGTCGTTGTTTGTTTATGTAGGACATACATAACCTAATACTGAGCACTCGTTTATCCTACGGTAACAGAAAAGAGTGCTATTCATATGTCATCTTTATTAAATTGTTCAGAACTTCTGGATATGAATAATACTCGTTCTGGATAATCGCCCATACTGAAAATCTGGCAAGATATCATATGCAGACAAGATAATGTTACCAGATTTTTTCGCCATAAAACGTGGAACTTTAATTTGAATTTCCCTTTATCGTACCGTGTATGAAACGAAGACAAATGTCCATACATACAGTCCGGCGTAGCGAGTGTATGGACAAGCAATCAAACGTACACGTTAGGGAGGAATGTAACACCATATTTAATAGTTGAACAGGCTTATCACTTAATCATGATCCACCTTTATATCAAAATATAGGTTTTAACCTAACCACAATCATATCAACTTAACCATACATTTTGTATAACTAGCCATACAATATACCAAAATCATACGTCCTTTATAACAGATCATACATATTTTAAACTAACCATACATTCTTTATAACAAGTCAGTCTGTAAAAAAATAAAAATCTTTATATTACAACTATCCAAATCTACTGCAGGATAATGGGTCTACCATATGTCAAATATAGGGCAACTAGCAGAAAAGAAAAACAAACCTCTTACGACATCACAACTTTTGTTCTAGAAACAAATACCATTAACGAACCACTAAATGCGCATTCCGTGGCCAAATACCGCAAGGAACATACTTCCACGTGCGCGCAATGGCCATACAATAAAAATCAACAACTTCATACGTACCAGACGCGTGCTCAAACGTCGCGGGGGGTACATCAGTTAATGACTGAGTTTGAATTACGATATATTTACATGTAAGTATGGAAATAATGATAATTATTCACAGTGTGAACAAGAAATTATTTGTGAAATTGATATATATATATATATAATCTATTTACATAGGTCTTATAAGTAATAACGACAGTATGATCCAATATTGGAACAGATAAAACAACTGTTGGTTAGGTGCGTATTACTTAAAAAGATATATGGGCAGAGATGTAATATTGACAGCACTGTCGTTATTACTTCTTTGCCCATATATTATCTATTTATACATATGTATTGCAGAATAACTTCAACACTCTTGTACCAAAAACAATAGCAAAAGTTACAACAAATTTAGATTAGAGTTATTATGATTTTAAATACCTGTCATGAGCTGTAGTAACTATCAGACGAGAATAAAACCATCCTTCTGATATGATTTGTTCAATGAATCATCTATTAATTACCCTAAATATACCTTACTCTAATGTTTGAACATCATTATATACAATTAACTCCTAGCCTATATGAAATCTCTTCATTTTATAACAAATAGGCAATCTGTGTTCTCTAAAGGGCCTTAACGGCCAAGGTGCCTGTTCAAATCAAAGCACAGGTCGAACAACTCTACCGACATATCATAAAATTGATCTAAATTTTGTACATATAAATAACCTAGGACTAATCAAGTACCACCCCTCTCTATTTGAGACAGAACTCAACCCTATAAAGAAAAGGTTTGCCGATTGTTTTCAAAACGTTTAGAATTGATTACCAATTAAGAGCAAATTGTTTGTTGGAACTAAACATGGCACCTTTTTTCAGGAAAATGAGTATGGTACAGAAAATGTAATTTCAGATGAAATTAACACTATCACGCGTTACTGTAACTTTTGGATGTATGACCATTTTTTGTTGTTGTGCTGGAAACAATAACGTGCTCTTTGAACGATTTAAAATTAACACCATCAACCAAATAACAAAAACTAACCCCTTTTAAAAATAAAATGAAAAACTAAAATAGAAATTAAAATTTTAAATTCAACTTGCCATCGTGTTGATGAAATTGATTATTAATGACTTAAGCTAACTAATTACAATACGTGTCTTACCTGTGATCAGAAGGACGAATAGTATGAGAACCACTGTGGACAGTAGTCTCCACGTGGAATCGCTCATATTTGTCGCAACAACAGAAATATAATCCACGGTGAATCCATGTAGAATATAAAAGGGTCCTGATAAACACTTGTACTCCCTACATTTCACTGGTTGTTCTCACAAAACACCAGCTTATTTCAACAGATAAATACTCCTGTAAATTAATGAATGGCGAGGACACACAAATGAACTACGAACACTGAAGCCTCCTCTTCAAGTATGTTTAGACATCCAATGGCTGATAGAGCTACTACAGCGGCCAAACCGCAAAATAAATCTCAATGTCATTCATTCATTTTTTTTCCATACGTGATTTTGTAAAGGAATAATGACTAACCACTTTTCACCCATAAATAGGGAAATTGACCGTAACACACAATAATAAACACAATCTTCCTTCTCAGTACACACAGCGACGTGAACTAAAATCGAATCCTTGTTTTCCTTTAGTAGTTAATAGTTGTGCTGTCATCGTCGCTATGGGTCTCGTTGAAGCGATGATTCGTTGACCATATCGTCTGATATCCTACTAGTCGTCTAGTGTATATGGATGCTCCGACACAGGCCGTGTCATTCGTCTACACAGGCTCTGAAAGATTCAAACACGACAGACCATGATCATACTGGCAAGGTAAATCCTTTATCACACTGTTAAAGGTAACATAACTATGCGTTAGCAGCAGAGAGCTCGGTCGCTAACGTTAGCCTGACAGTAAGGACATGGTTGAAATAGCACAGGGGAGGCGATTGAGCGCACGGTAGCTTTTACTTGTGGCGGAGCAGTCTCTGCGTATGCATGTAGACGATCGCCAGGCCTAATCTACCAACATTACTATACGCAGCTAGTATAGCGGACCACCACACACTTACCGCTGCATGCTCCGCACAGAGGGCAGGGCTATACTAGAGAGTACCAGTGAGTGACTGTATACTTGTTTGACAGGAGCGCCTCAAGCTGAGGCCTATACTTGTACTGGTGTAACATATCACTGTGAAAATCCCAATACTGGTTAAAACACTAACCGCTGAAAGATCGACGTGAAACCAGTCATAATAGATTAAGTCGAGACTGATATCCTTGTTCCCGCGCCCCTCAACTTCCCTGTGGCCCTTTGAGTCAATTTTGAAATCACAAGATGGCAAGTAGTTTGTTTTACCAATTATTTCATTATTTAAATCCACTGACTACAGGTCATTTTTTATAAATTCACTAATCTACATGCGGATGTAGCCTTCAAATATGAAAACATTATTTACCTACATATCTACTCAGTGGCATACCTCGTATATCTGCTCCGATAAGGTGCGTGCATGGTGTTACAGACAAACGTACGCTGCGAGAGAGTAAATGCATGTCACTCATTGTTTGTGATGAAACTCTGGGTATTATAATAACAACCAGGCCTACATATAGGGGCCGGAAACATAGGTTATAAAAGAGCTGATCGGAGGAAGGATAGAAGTTGATTCTTGTACAATACTTGACCAAGAAAGAGCTGTATACCTAACATGAATGTAGAGACACATGTATTTTGTCAACTACCCATAATGGCTTAGAGAGGCAATACCCAGAAGGGAAAGGCAAAGCGTCGAAGGTAGAGGGGTGCAATTCATTGAAAAAAATGGGTCATATATTACCTAACAAATATTCTGACACAGAGAAAGAATGGAAAGGCGAAACATTGACCATAGAACAGAGCAATTTATAGAAAGGATGGGGTCATACCTAACAATCGTTGGACACATGGGGGGGGGGGGGGGGGGGGGGCAGTATCTAGAAAGATTGGTGTGATACCTACGAAAGCGGCAAACGTACACACAGAGTTGGTCACAAAGAGGAAAGAGAGGAGGCGTAGGACGTAGCGGGGCACGAAACATAGAACGGAAGGATGATACCTATAGAAACGAGCAGTCAGACATACAGGGTAATACCTAGAAGGCAGGGGTGTACCAAAGGGTCGGACGTAAAATGGGAAAGAACAAGAAAGAAGTGATGACGAGTTTTACTGCATGATACCTAGAGAGCAGGGGTGTACCAAAGGGTCGGACGTAAAATGGGTAAGAACAAGAAAGAAGTGATGACGAGTTTTACTGCATGATACCTAGAGAGCAGAGGTGGACCAAAGTGTCGGACGTAGAATAGGTTACAACAAGAATAAAGGGGTGAAGAGTTTTACTGCATGATACCTACAGAGCAGAGGTGGACCAAAGTGTCGGACGTAGAATTGGTTACAACAAGAATAAAGGGGTGAAGAGTTTTACTGCATGATACCTACAGAGCAGAGATGTACCAAAGTGTAGGACGTAGAATGGGTTATAACAAGAATAAAGAAGTGAAGAGCTTTACTGCATGATACCTACAGAGCAGAGGCGTACCAAAGTGTCGGACGTAGAATTGGTTACAACAAGAATAAAGGGGTGAAGAGTTTTACTGCATGATACCTACAGAGCAGAGATGTACCAAAGTGTAGGACGTAGAATGGGTTACAACAAGGATAAAGAGGTGAAGAGTTTGACTGCATGATACCTACAGAGCAGAGGTGTACCAAAGTGTCGGACGTAAAATGGGTAAGAACAAGAAAGAAGTGATGACGAGTTTTACTGCATGATACCTAGAGAGCAGAGGTGGACCAAAGTGTCGGACGAAATGAATGGGCTACAACTAGAAAGAAGAGATGAGGAGTTTGACTTAGAGGAACACGATACCTAGAATAAAGTGAAATGTTTGAAGGAGGGTGGGGTGGTGGAGGGTTGCTACATAGAAGACAGGAATGATATCTATCCATGTGTTACAAAATAGTTGATGATTCCTAGAAGGGAAAGGCGATACCGAAGTGTTGCCCGGGGCGTACATGGTTTTGAACGTAAAGGATCATATACTTGGACAGGATGGGAGATACCTGACGAAAAGCTGGATGTATAGTGGGCTATACCATACCTTTTATCGCTTATGTCTCTGTATCTTGCTTATATAAATAACAATATGCATAACATCGGTATATCTTTCCACGGTAGTAAAGTCATCACTATTAAGCGTAAGACTACGCTGAAATGACAAGTGTAGTCAGATTAACTTTGACTAAAAGATGATGTCTTTTCATTGTTTTCGTTTTTGTTTGTTTGTATCACAAAAATCACAAGCATGTTTAAAAATATAAGAAAGTGGAAAGATTTAACGCAAAGCTTTTCAACTGAGCAATTTGTATTTTACACTTACTCTGTCAAATAAGTTCATGCCCGGTCTTTAAACCCGGCAACTACCTAGGAAATGTCACTGTGAAATACAACTCTATTTTCTCTTATTTCTATCAAGAAGATACGTATTCGACTTCAATTTTGTTTCGTGGCTATAGATTTACAAATTAGTTCGTGGAGACAAGTTTTCATTGTCTTTCGGTACATTGAAACCTACGTCAGTCAAAGTGTTAATATATAATTTAATGATATTCTTGCTAACAGTGCAACCCCGAAAATTGCACAAGAGATGTCCTGGTTTACAGTAAGGCAAATCAATAGCAGCATACGATGGTGGTTAAGATAAATGACTAGAATGTGTTAATTCTCTAATCACACTGTGTCAGAAAGATAGGATAATAAAAAGCGGATGTCACAGAAAGAAAAACCTCATCACGCCCATGTTATCAAGGTACAAGCGTTAGTTATTTATGCTTTCCCTCAATTTCATCCTAATCAGCGTGAACAAAAATGCCGTTCATTCCGATAGACAAAAGGCTGTCGAACGTGTCACGTGTACCTTTTATAGCTTACAGATAGATATTCACGCATTTGACAGATCTTATGCAACATGCTCTAAGCGTGCACGATACATAGAATATCAGTGCGTTTTAAAGTAATTTAATTATTTCTATTGTTCTACATGCATACACGCATGACTTCATACCAGACAAGACGAATGTACTTCTAGATAAAATGATCCCATTTAATACGGCTCTATGTTTACGATATCAAGATAAATTATTGCGTGTGCGCGTGCACATTCACGCAAATAATTATGAATAAATCACGACATTGTTAGTTTGAATTTTATTTGCACCTGGTGGGATAATGTTTTTGGTGACACGGTTTTTCGATTTAGGTATATATTGATTTGATATAACATAACTGAAAATGTATTGAACAGGCTAACAGATACTAATCTCACCACGTGAGATGTATTAGCGTGCTCCGGCTATTTTGGTATACTACAGCGAAGAGGTACCTTTAGAGTTTTCCGGTCACTTTCAGCGTTAAAACAAAACTACCCATAAAAGTGTTATCGGCAAGGGAAACAACTGCGTATTACTGCGTGGCATTGTTTTGATAAAAACAGTCTGTTCCATTTACTTAAGTACACTTATTGAAGTAAGTCATTCATCTTACATTACCTGTAGTTGTGATGTCGAACAAACTATCTTTATTTAAACATGATCTATTTCACAACAATAAGGAAATAATGTTTTCATAGTAATCATTCTTGTCCGGATGGAAGCGCAGGGAGAGTAAATGTGAGAGGAAACCGGAGTACCCGAAGAAAACTAACGTGGTCGGCAGGTGAAACCATACCTGTCGAGGTGTCGAACTCCGGCCGTCTTAGAGAAAGGCAAATGCGTTATCAACTGCAACTTTTAAGCACCCTTAGATTATTTAAATCACATCTGTCATAACTGTCTTGGGTGATCACTTGTTTGGCAGGCATAGTTGTTTCTGTGGTGAGTGTTTTTATATTCGCAATATCACACGTTTTGTACACCTTAAATAAAATGTCTCCCTAATTCGAAAGAGAGTAGAATCCTCACAAACAGGCCGAATCAATAGCTTTGGAGACACAAATATTGGCGTATATTAGGTGTTTTGCAGTATAAAAATACTGGGCTTTGAAGTAAGAATTTAACAATTAAATTGATACTTATTTCAAAATATATATCGATATTATATCCTGTATTAAATTTTTCAACAGGAGAATTTTTATAGTGACACGGTATATTGGAGAACGTCACGAGTCCTACTGGACAAACAAAACAGTTGTATGTATGTTAGATTAGGGTAAACACTTGAGATATATACAACATTGTTTGAGCCACTTTAACAAGCACGAGATACAGTTTATATACAACGTGAGATGTGTGGTTATGTACGTAAGTGATTAGTCCTCCCTGACCTACGTTACACACACCCTTAACAGCCATTCAAATAGTTCATCATGAATATCATTTGAATTTCACTGAACTTTATAACGACGACATGAAATTAATTACCCTCATTGAATAATTCTTTCATTCTAGTCAAAACTAATGCCATTATATATTTAGTAATCTTTGAGTTTATCTTCTTCATACGTTAACAGATGGTGTGTGTTTTCTTTTGTTTGGAATGAAGGCACACTGTTCGCTGTTACACCCAATGACGTCTCTATCGACTTAATCATTAATTATTATATACATAATTCTAAAGACAGTTAACCTTATTAGGTTTGATTGCCTCACAATGAATAGAACGTGAAACATGTCAAATAAAATGGCATATACCATGTACATATACCTGATTCAGATAGGGTAGGGTATAATGCTGAAATGATATTTGTCTTGTGCT